GAAGAGGCTTACTCCTCCCAAAGTCAAGGCTGTTGGTGAGCACCTCTGTTGTCCCCTCTATCACCCACTAACCCCATGTGAGCACATGAACTACGGCTTGTCTGAGATGCCCCATGGGTAAAATACACACTGGATTTCAAGCATTCAGTACAAAAAAAGAATGCAAGGCATCCCACTAGAATCTTAATTTTTACTTATTAAATTTTAAAATTAGGTTTAATAATACTTGATAAAAACAATAATTTGGATAAACCAGGGTTTAATAAAGTACTACTAAAATTCATGCAGTTTTCCTGTATTAAAATACAGCTCCTCAGGGCAGATATGTGGCACAGTGGCTGAGACTCTGCTGGGGACACAGACATCCCACATAACATGAAGTACCTGGGTTTAAGTTTTGACTCCATTCCCAAAACCAATCTCCGGCTAATGCATACTCAGGGAAGCAGCAGATGACGGCTCAACTACTGGGTCCCTGCCAGCCACCTGGAGACCTGGATGGAGTTCCTGGCTCCAGGCTTTGGCCCGGCCCTGGCTGTTGTGGACATCTGGGGAGTGAAACAGTGAGTGAGAGGTTTCTCTCTCTCTCTTTGCCTTTCAGATAAAATAAATAACAAGCTTTATATATGTCTACCTGAAAATCTGAAACTACAAGCACTGTTCTCATTACCTACTGTCGCCTGTAATCTCGTTTTGCAATGGGCCTCAGGAGGTAGCTGAGTGTGGAGCTGGAAGTCAGGGGGATCAGGCAGGCAGAAGTGGCTTCCACTCTCACGTCTTCCACGTGCTCACGCAGGGCCCCACGCACACTGCTCGCCTTCTCCCAACCTTACTGCCCTTACTTACAGGACAGGAAGAATGAGAGTACTTTCCTCTCTGGAAGATCAAATTGAAAACTGTGCATATCTGAAGACACCACTTGGGTTCTGAGAATTATAATTAAATTTTGCATTACAAAAGAGGGCAGAATTTTAACCAGTTATCACAGTAACTCAAAAGCTAACTCAGCGGAAAAACAGCACGCCTATCTTGAGACCAAGATGAACCAAATTTATAAAATTCTGAGCCTCTTCGTGTTTTTCACCTACTGCTGCTGGCTCAAGAGGACAGGGAAGCTTCAAAGAGTTCATGGAAAATGGAATTAAAAGCTAAGTTTAGGGGCTGGCACTGAGGCAAGGTGGGGTAAAGCCGTCACCTGCGTGCCCGTTAACCATATGGGTACTGGTTAGAGTCCCGGCTGCTCCACTTCCGATCCAGCTCTCTGCTGTGGCCTGGGAAAGCAGTAGAAGATGGCTCAGGTCCTCGGGCCCCTGCACCATGGGAGACCTGGAAGAGGCTCCTGTTGTAGCCACCTGGGAAGTGAACCAGCAGACAGAAGACCTCTCTCTCTCTCTCTGCCTCTGCCCCTCTGTAACTCAGCCTTTCAAATAAATAAAAATGTCTTAAGAAAAAAATAAGTACCCAGTTTTGTAATAACACATACTTTCTATATACTTCCTGAAGACTCCTTAGGTGTGAATTTCAACATTTTTTCCTGCCCAGGTGATGGCTGAAGTATTGGGTCCCTGCCAGCCACCTAGAAACCGGGATGGCATTCCTGGCTCTGGGCTTCAGCCTGGCCCAGGTCTGGCTGTGTGGGCATTCAGGGAGTGAGCCAGCAGACAGAAGATCCCTCTGTGTCTCTGTGCCTTTCAAATATATAAACAAATAAACATGTCTAAATATATTTATTAATCTACTGGAGTCTAAGCTGGACTTGTGTTAAGATACAGTCACTGAGCCAATACTGTGGCTTAGTGGGTAAAGCCGCAGCCTGTGATAATGTCATCCCATAAGGGTACCAGTTTGAATCCCCGCTGCTCCACTTCTGATCCAGCTCCCTGCTGATATGCCTGGGAGAGCAGTGGAAGAAAGCCCAAATGCTCGGTCCCGTGCACCCACGTTGGAAACCACAGAAGCTACAGCCTGGCACAGCTCCAACCATCGCAGCCATCTGGGAAGTGAACCCGCAGATGGAAGACCTTGCTGTCTCTCTTTCTTTAACTCTGCCTCTCAACCAATTCTTCAAAAAACAAAGGCACAGCCACTTGGCTCCACTGGGCTGCAGACTGCTGGGGACAACCTGCACTCGGTACCTCCCTCTTGGGATCTCAGTGGTTCTTCTCCCCTAGTCACTAAAGACTCCGTAAGAGGGTGTCAGGAAACGGGCGCTCAGAAACCTTAGTCTCCTGCAAATGTAAAGCCAGACTGCTGCTTCGGATCACTTTACCACAGAGAGGGAGAGAGAACATCTCCTGCTGGTTGCCCAATAATCCTTTGCTGTGAAAACAGCCACTGCCAAGCTCCAAGCCCCACTTCCTTGTGCTTTCAATGCACATGGACTGAACAGAGCTGTTCACAGCGGCAAGGCAGGAGCTGCGAGTGGAAGGTTAGGCTAACCATCACTGCTCAGGTCTGGGCAGGAGGACTCTTAGCACAGGGTCATGACCGCCACCGTGTGACACACGGCACTGCAAACATGAAAGGTCACTTTGTGACTTCCATATTTGCCATGGTAGTCAGCATCTTTGGATAAAACATTCAGCTATAACGTCTCTGAAACCAGTACTACTATACGATCCAGGGACTCAGAACGACACTGACAGGAGGTTGTCTAGGCACCAAGTCATTCGGGTCTGGGCAGGACAGATATGAGGGTATTTGGAAAAGCTCAAGAAAAATTTCTGGTGCAAACATTTGTTGAACCCCATGCATATGGAAAGCCTTAAAATACATTGATGGTAATTATGAAAAAACTAGCACGGATTTTAATTTCTTATACAAAAATAAATTCATCTTTTAATACCACTTTCTATGAACTTTCAAAGTCAGCTTGTACAAGTACTGATGATTTGAAAACACAGTCCTTAGAACTTCACACAAAAAAAGTGCTTCCAAATGTCGCAGTCAATAAAAACATCGCATCCACCCACATCTAGCTGTGCACAATAACTAGAAGCCATTTTCCTCACAACTTTTGATTTGCTATAATTTTTCTTAAAGATGTATTTATTTATTTAAAAGGCAGAGTTACAGAGAGGCAGAGGCAGAGGCAGAGAGAGAGAGAGAGAGAGTCTTCATCTACTTGTTCACTTCCCAAATAGCTGCAATGGCTGGAGCTGAGCCGAAGCAAAGCCAGGATCCAGGAGCTTCCTCCTGGTCTCCCATGTGTGTGCAGGAGTCCAAGGACTCAGGCCATCTTCCGCTTAGCAGAGAGCTGGATGGGAAGTGGAGAAGCTGGGACTTGAACCTGCACCCATATAGGATTCCGGCACTACAGGCGGTGGCTTTACCCACTACGCCACATCTACTATTATTTTTAAGAGGAATTTCCTGGTAGTATAGTGTTTTCTCAGCTACAACTGTGCACTTTTTTGTTCTCAACTGGTTTTCCTTGTTCCAATGTCTATCAGATTTTCAGATTTTAACCATCCATGCTATCTAATTTGAAACACTATTTATTTCGTTTGTGTTGATTCATACCTGGTTTCTTTCCCTTTCATTGTACTTTTTTGCTACTTATTTACTTATTTTAGTGAAGTGTTCCTTGATTTTGTGTTCTGCCATGTGGATAAAGTCAGTCTTAAACAGAAAACTTCAGGTGCAGCTGTTGTGCAGCGGGCTAAACTGCCACTTGGGATACCTGCAACCCTTATTCAAGCCCCTACTAAGAGTCTTGGCTACTTCACATATCTGATACAGTCTCATGCTAAGGTGCCCGGGAGGACACAGGTGATGGCTTAAGGACTTGGGTTCCTACCACCCACACTAGAGACACAGACTGAGTTCCCGGCTCCTGGCTTTGTCCTAGCCCAGCCTGTTTTGAGTATTTGAGGAATAGACCAGGACATGGAAAACATCACTGTTTCTTCTCTCCCCCTCTCTGTCACTCTGCCTTCAAAATAATTTTTTAAAGACATAAAACTTCAGACTAGGGTGACACCTGTCACTCTGCATGATGGGTTGCTCTGTGATCACAAGAGATTAAAAACAAATATGCATTAACAACCACATTAATAAGGAGGACCAATATCTAAGTGAACACATGAAACACAGGAGAGAACAGGGAGCTGAGGAAGAAGCATCCTGCAGAGTTAGCGAGGCTGCAAAATAACCCAGTTAGGGCAAGGAGCAAAGAACGCAGTGAACCAACACCCCAGTACCCAGTGTGCTCTCCAGAAGGTGAGATGAAAGCCCATTCTCTAAGTGTATGAACTGCCAGCATTCAGACAAACACAGCTAAGTGTTTCATTACTCACTGATGCCACTCACTTTGACGTCTTAAATTTCCACCTCTAGCGCTTTTAAAATATGGAAGCTACATTCCATAACCGCCGACACTGTTAGGACTGTCACTGCCCAGACCCATGGCGGCACAAATGGAAGACACAAGTGCCCCTGCACATTTGCCTTCAGTGGCACTGGCCAGAGTCTGGACTGCCGTCAGGGCAGGAAGCCGATGCACAACAATGATTATGGCTGCGAGTGGCTGCACCTGCACAGGCACCACTCGATCCACGGCCACCTCCAGGCAGCCTCACCTTCTCTCTTACAGAAAACATCCTCTGAGTATGTACTACGTTACATGGGGAATCTCTGACCTAAAAACCTATGCTGCGCCATGCCGTATCCCAGTGTCCCCCCTTAATGAGAGCATAGATGCGCATGGCCGTACAGCAACAGCTGCCACTCGCGGATCCCAAGTTTACCTGGCCCTGGGACCGTTCCCCAGTCGCCCTCCCGTACAATCTATGTCCATCACCCAGAAGCTGGGATCCAGAAAGGCACTCCAGGACAGACTCCTTTGCACCACTGAGGGAGAGGCTTCCCTGGGACGAGAACTGCATTCTCCCCTAGTCTGCAAATCCTAACCGCTCGGCTCCAGGGAGGGGAACGGCACCTCGCCGAGGCGAGCGTGGAGGACAGGGCTTCTGGAGGACAGACCGAGACGCGGTGCTTACTTTAGCAGGTTGCCCAGGTTGAACAGGGCCCGGTTGTGCTGGGGGTGCAGCTGCAGAGCCCTCTGATAGTACATCTGCGCCTCCGCCGTGTCCCTCGTCAGGGTCCCGAGGTTGTTCAGGGCACTCGCGTGGCGTGGATACAACCTGGAGAGTGAGAAAGACCAAGCCATCACGGTTCATCACCTCCTGGGCTGGGCACAGTCTGCCAGTTCTGCCTCTGCCCCACCACCAGCCCCTGGTTATGTTCCCGCTAAAGCGAAACCAACGCTGAACTCTTTAATGATCCGTCTGGGTCAAATGTTAACAGCCAACCATTTTTGCAGCTGACGTGTATCAGTGTGGCAGGAAAGCACACACTTGGCGCCTACTGGTACAAACAATCCTGAAACAGTACAACAAGGCAGTATGCAAACCTGCTGGGGCTGGATCTTTGTGCTCAGGAGCCTACAGTGACTTTCAACTTCCCGTGACAAACATGACCTCCCTGGGTTGGGGGTGACTCTGCAGCCTCGGCTGGGCTGACCACCAGCCCGCCAGGTGCCCACGGTTTCCACCAGCGGAGGAGACCTTGACTGGGAAAGGATGGTTCCTGTCTCCTCCCCTGAAGACAAACTTTGTCTCCTCCGAGATCGCCCCATCTTGCCTCTCTCTTGTCCACTTTCTCTTACTTCCCCCCTCTGGCTTCCCCTGGCCCGGATGCTTCTCAGATGAGAACCTTAGGAACTGAACAGATTTACAAATCAAACAGCAAATGCTGCATGGTGCAAACGTGAAGGAGGGCGGGATGCAGGTCAGGAAACCAAGCCCTGCTGCTCCAGGAAGGGAGGGGCTCCACTGACTTCCTGGATTCCAAGCACGGAGCAGCCAGAGCAGTGTGGCTGCAGCTAATGCAACAGGGCCATACACTGACAGTGGACACACACAGCAGGCTAAGACGCTGCCTCCGTCCCTGTCACCCAGGGTACCTTCCTCCAGCCAAGCACTGGCTCTTAATGTAGAAAGGCCAAGATGACGCCCCAGGCATAGAAAGAAGGTCTACGCGTGTCAAGTTTCTTGGCAAACAAATGCCATGCGTGCTCCTGTCACACACCTCGCAAGATCAATTTAATTTGGGGACAGAAGGGGTTCCTTTGAAAGGCCACGAAGACAAGCTGTATTGCTTTTTATCTCTGTCCAACCCTAGAGCTTCCAGAGTTTATCTGACCTGTTGCTGCTGCCTCACAGAACAGCAGCCCACACTCCCTCAGCACCAGACACTTGTCAAGAGACAGGCTCGATTCACTGAATACCACACCTCCTCCCAAAGCGGAAAAGGCGTGGTTACTCACAGTGGCTTTGGGGGCTGTTAAGAGACATTGTAACAGGTAAAGTCTGCAAACAGAAACACCCTGAGCCGGTGAGTGTGCTGCTGTTTGCTTCTTGTTGATCTCCTTTAACTGGCACAGAAAACCCTACGGTCCCTGACACCAGCCCCTTAACACCCAACTGCCTGGGAGGCAGGTGCTTCGAGTGCTGTGTGAGATGCCCGTAGAACATTCCACAGCTCCTAAAGGAGGGCACACCATCGCCAGGCCTCCAAGTCATCTACAGAGACTTCCCTTCCTGCCTCACGTGGAGCAAAGCAGTCTGACCTCCCAAGCATCTCAGTGGCGTCCAGCACACATGGGGAGGATGGCGTCCACGCACGTCGCTTCCTCTACGTCACGCGGTAACAGGGATCACGCCAGGGACGTACCCCTTCCTTTAACTCAGAGGAACCAGCTTCTTAAGACCTTCTCTTCTCTTCATTTCTTTTTTTTTTTTTTTTTTTTTTTTAAGATTTATTTATTTATTTGAAAGTCAGAGTTACACAGAGAGAGGAGAGGCAGAGGCGGGGGGAGGGAGTCTTCCACCTGATGGTTCACTCCCTAATTGGCTGCAACGCCAGAGCTGCACCGATCTGAAGCCAGAAGCCAGGCACTTCTTCCGGGTCTCCCAAGTGGGTGCAAGGGCCCAAGCACTTGGGCCATCCTCCACTGCCTTCCCAGGTTACAGCAGGGAGCTGGATCGGAAGAGGAGCAGCTGGGACTAGAACTGGTGCCCATATGGGACACCGGCACTTCAGGCCAGGGCATTAACCCACTGTGCCACAGTGCTGGCCCCCTTTTCTTCATTTCTTTAGACCATGGCACCCTCGAAATAACATCAGCCACAAAAACACTGACTGCCCCAAAGGCCAAGCGAGAGCCCTAAAGAGCTCCCACAGCAGGCTCATGGAGGCGTCCAGGTGCCTGTGTGCCAGCCACGGCGCTGGGCCTCCAGGCGGGCCTTCCCCCTCCGTCCTGCACGTTCTAGTCCCCCAGGATCCCACTGCCCTGTCAGTCAAGAGCAGGTGCCGGCCACACACGCTGACTACATGAACGATTTCCTTTCTCTCCCGCTTTTCAAAATTAAAATCAGAAAAAGAAAACAAGTGCACCCTGAACTCGGAAAAGTCTAAGCAAGCAGGGGCGAGGGAGTAAGGAGAAATAGACGGAGGCACGAGGGAGAACAGGTCTTCCTCTGCGCCCTGGGCTGCCAGCGTGGGTCTGCAGGGGCGGAAGGAGGCTCGGGAGAAGACTTCCCGGACAGCTGCAGTCCGGGAAGAGACCCTGTCATGCCAAAGAGCCCCAGCTGGAAACAAGGGAGCGGCTGTATTCTCCCCGACCTGGTGACGCCCCCACCAGCCACAGCCCCCCACCTGGAAAACGTGTGGCTATGGATTATTCATAGTAGCAGTAGGGTCTGATAGCAATATCCTCTCTCACTGGGTATCTAATTAGGTTCACCTCACAAGCTCTGCATTATTTATGAAACAGAGCTGAATTTCATTAAGAAGAATTCTTAACAACCAGGTCAAGAAAAAGACCTAAAAAAAATTTATACACTTGTATCTGCCGATAGTTCCTTAAAACAGACTCCCATTTCCTGCAGGCCTAGGCAAGGGCATGATTTATTTTGTGTGTTTGCTTTTTAAATACACTTGAGTTGGAAATGGCTTGTTCTATTTTAATCCTGTGGTCTCCACGAAAGGAATTTTCTATGGGAAAAAGGAATTCTTTAAGAAATGTCTATGTTGTTGCAGCCATCGTCAGAATAACTAAGACCACCATGCCTTACGGTGTGCTCCTCAGAGGTCCTGGTGGGGGTTACGCCCTTCCCCACCCGAAGGCTGAGCTCAGCAAGACTCCTTGAGCTGCAGCCGAAGGCTGAGCCTGGGAGACCAGGCTGAATGATAACCGCTAAGCGGATTTTCCTCCTCACAGTCAGTCGTAGTCAGCATTTGCAGGGTTCACAGGGACTCTTTAGCCACTCATCAGCATCCTCATTTCCATACGTTAAACTTCGAAAGTGTGTCTTATTCTGCCAAGCAGTTCTAGGGGAGAATAAAACTTGCTTTCTTCATCTTGAAAAAGGCAATCCAACTATACAGATCAAGTTCTATGAGCTCAAGAAAATTTATTTTCCAGCAGTGGATAACTTGAATTATTTAACTACTACAATGTGTTATTTATTTGAGAGATGGAGGGATAGAGGGGGAGAGAGGACTGCCATCCGCTGGTGCACTCCCTCAATGTCCCCTACAGCCTGAGGTGGGAGCCAGGCACTCAATCCTTATATTCCACAGCAGTGGCAGGACCCAACTACTTTTGTTTTTCACATGACAAAGTCTTGTGACTTTGACCAGAACACCAAGTAATAACATGTAATAAGTCCTTCAATTCTATCACCTAGTCATTTTGATTAAGAAGTTGAAGGCGGCCTAAACAATTCAACAAGGAATCCATTGCTTTTGCCCTTGGAAGATACTTCAAGGCTGGCTGCTGCGTCACCCAACTTACAAGAAACCTTTTATACTTTTTCATTGATAAAGCCCTTGACCTTCAAGAAAGCACAGGGGGAAATGGTCTCATTCCTTTCTTTCTTCAAAGAATTGTGTTTTTCTCTACTAGATCTAAGACAGAAAAAAAAAAAAATCAACACTGACCTATGCATTACTTGGACTAAAAGGCACAGGAAAACACATGACCTGTATGTATCAACCGTCTCTAAGAAATTCGAAGTGGAAAGATGAACTCTTTGGCTAAGTTCTACATCTGTGCAAAGCAGCAGAGAAGTGAAGGGGCCGCCCCTGAAACACACAGAACCAACCCAAGCCTTGTCATGTGGGCAGAGCGCGAGCTTTGCCGGACCTGCCTTCCCCACGAGAGCATCGAACACGCCCACGCGTGGGACAAGTGCAGCTTTCCTCTATCCACTCATGCGGTGGTTTTCATGGATCTCTGGCCAGATGTCACGGACCAAGGCCAGAGGTTATCCAAGACTTCATCCCAGTTCTGCTGCAAGTAGCTCTGGAGGAAGGCCATCTTCTCCTGGGTCTCCTCTCTTCACTGCCGCAGCTGCCTTGGCCTTGAACTGCACCCTCTGCAGGCGGCACTGTTCCACGTCAGCCCATGCTGCTGCCTTGGCCTGCCTCAGCCTCTGGTTCTTTCGCTTGCAGGCCTCAACACCATCTCCAAGGCCCACTCCTCAGCCTGCAGCAGCTGACTGGCCATCGTGGCAGGCACTCTCGAAGCCCAGCTGGAGTCAGGCGCGGGAGAGGAGCTTCAAACCCAGGCTCTCCAAGGGCAATGCGGATGACAGAATCGCGAGGCCACCTGCCTGCTCTGGGGCTGATTAGGATTTATTTTTAAAATTTGCTATTTACTTTCATTTCGTTTGAAAGAGATAAGAGACAGACACAGAGAGATCTTCCACCTGCTGGTTCACTCCCCAAATGCCCACACCATGGAGGCAGACGTCCAGGTCTCCCATATGGGTGCCACCCACCCAAGTATTTGCTTTTCTGCATCCTCCCAGGGTGCAAGCTAGCAGGAGGCTGAATTTGGAAGTGGAGCTCGGACAGAAACTTAGGAGCAGCATTTTGGGATGTGGGTGCCCCAAGCAGCATTTTAACTACTTTGCAAACACCCACCCTTGCCCCATATTCTCAACAAATATAACACCTATTAAAGCATGTAAGGGGCTCTTCATTTTTATCTAACGGCATTTCCGTAGGCAGAATTAATAAAGCAGGCAGTGAAAGCCATTAGTGCTCTCCAGGCCCAAATGAATGAGCATCAACA